CCACACCCCTCAGTGCCCCTGCTCTGCACCCTCCTGGAGTCTTTTTGCCTGGCTGGAATGTGTCCTTAAACACTGATCCCACCTCTTGATTGCTTTGATGGTGTGTGAATATGTGTACTGCACAAATTTACACTCATTGCTCTGCACATTTCCACATGTGGCCCTCAGAAGGCTGCCCATAAGGGAATGCGGCCCTTGGATTGCAAAGGATTCCCCCTACCCTTGCTCCACACCAACAGCACTGCAGGGATACCCGACACAGGAGTGGCGTAAACAGGCAGGGGTCCCCTCTCCTCCACATCTATGACCTAAGCCATTGTGTCTCCTCGCTCTCTAGGTCTGCTAACAGGACTCGCTCTCCCATAAGAGAGCTATTGGGCCAAAGTAACAAAGGGAAACCCAGCCAGATGAGCAGAGTGTTAATTATTATTATTATTATTATTATTATTATTATTAGGCTGAGCTGTAGCAGATCTGGCCTCTGCAACAAACTCATTAACTGAGAGCAAGAGTGGAGAACCTTTGCCCCTTCCCGCAGTGTTCAAAACTCCTATTGTTTTAGGCACATTTTGTGACATAGAATGTCATTAGCTCGAGCAGTCTCTGAGCTCTGGGCGCAGTACTGCGCCTAAGATTTCAGATTAAAACTGCAGAGTGGAAGGAAAGGAGGAACTTTTTCTGCCTCCCTCACTTCCAGCTACTCTCTGAAGACCGGAGAAGAGACCCTCTTAAGAATATTAGGGGGGTGGGCAGGGGAAGGACTAGACCATGTGAAAAATGAACATAATATTTTAACTGCAGTTCATTCATTCTCAGCTTTGTATTCTTGTTATAAAAAAGCCACCTAGACATTCCGTTGTTGCATCCATAACCTAGGTTTAAGTTGCCATTTAGCTCCTAGCTTTCATATCTCAGTTTCTAACACTGCCTTCCAGGTGTTGCTGGACTCCAATTCCCACCAGCCACAGAGCCAGCGTGGCCGATGGTTAGGGACGATGGGAGTTGTAGTCCAGCAACGTCTGCGGAGGGCTGAAAGTTCCCCAGCTCTGCCTTATAAGCAAGCCAGTCTTCTCTCTCAGACCACCTTCCACAACACAGGGATGATAATACAGTACTGACCCAAGGAAAGAGATGGTGTTGTGAAGCATTTCAGAAACCAATATGAGCCTAGCTGCTAGATGAAACCAAGTGCCCATGCAGTTCAGAATCCTATTCTCATAGTGGCCAACCAGATGCCTCAGTGGGAAGCCCAACAGCAGCTGATAGGCCCTAATAGCCTTCTCCTCCATGAACTTGTCTAAGCCTATAGTCTTAGGTGCATGTTTGTAGCTTTCATGGAACACTAAACAGGTATTAAAGGTAAAGGGACCCCTGACCATTAGGTCCAGTCGTGACCGACTCTGGGGTTGCGGCGCTCATCTCACTTTATTGGCCGAGGGAGCCGGTGTGTGGCCAGCATGACTAAGCCGCTTCTGGCGAACCAGAGCAGCGCACGGAAACGCCGTTTACCTTCCCGCCGGAGCGGTACCTATTTATCTACTTGCACTGGCGTGCTTTCGAACTGCTAGGTGGGCAGGAGCTGGGACCGAACAACGGGAGCTCACCCCGTAGCGGGGATTCAAACCGCTGACCTTCTGATCGGCAAGCCCTAGGCTCTGTGGTTTAACCCACAGCGCCACCCACATCCCAAACAGGTATTAACAGAGATCAAATCCACACCATACACTGAAAGCACATCCAATGCCCATTTAAAGTACACTGCTTTCCCCAAGGAATCCAGGGAATTGTACATAAGAACAAAAGAGAAACCCTACTGGGTCAGGCCAAAGGCTCATTGTCCAGCTTCTTGTGCCCACATTGGCCAACAAGAGGCCCCAATGGGAAGTCTGCAAACAGGACCTGAGGGCGACAGCAACCTTCCCCACATGTGGTCAACAGCAGCTGAGATTCAGAAGCATACTGCCTCCTTCGACAGTGAAGGGAGAACATAGCCATTGTGGCCACTTATATCCACCACGAACTTGCCATATTTTGAAGAGGAAAAAGAGGACGCGATGACGGCAATTCAAAGCAAATAAATGCAATCTGTCTCAAATTTTACCCCTGGAAATACAGGACACACGTCGCTGGCCATCACTGCATCTTGTGAAGAACCCCAAGGTAACTTGGTGTGATGATTTCAAGACTTTTAAGATGCGCAATCATCATTGGAAATAATGATCCCCCACCACAGATTAAATGCTGTGCTTCTCCATTTCAGTTTAAGATTCCTTTCCATAGCAGTCGCCCTGTGCCAAGAGCCCACACACCCCTCAACCTCCCCCTTTTTGAATACAATAACGGACTGAGTAGATTAGACACACAGGCTGCCTCTACTCCACCATTCTGTTTCCCACACAGTGGCCAACCAGATTCCTCTGGGAAACCTAAAACTAAGGCAGGGAGGGCCTGGCCTTCCCTGGTTTGTCCCCTAGCAACTAGTATTCAGAGGTAAGTTGCCTCTGATCCTGGAGGTTCTGTTTCACAGACACGGCTCACAGCTCTTTGCAGACTTCTCCTCCTCCACCTCTTGCATGAATCTGCCCGATCTCCCTTTAAAGGAAGCTACCAGCACAACCTTCACCGTGGCAAATCCTGTTGAATTCAGCGGGGCTTAAACACACACAGACACGCACCACCACTTAGCCTACCCTGAATCTGCTGCGGGGTCGGGTCACTCCCAAGCCCCCCTGTCATGGGAGAGAACCACTCATATGCAGAGATCTCGGGCTGGAGGGTCGAGGCGCAGGTTCGAATCCGCCGCAAGGCTGAGTTTGTTAACCCGTTCCCTCCCTGCCTGGCCTACCTTACAGGGCTGTGCCGAGGATTCCGAGGAGGGCGGCCCCCTCCTTTGCTACACACATACGATTCACAAAAGGAAAGGCGAAGAAAGGAAGAAGAAGAAGACCCAAGTCCGGGGGGAGGCGAGTCTAGAGCGCCTTGGGGGGGGAGGAATCGCCCGGAGTCAATCACGAGGGAGGGGGCGGGGCTACGAGGGAGGGGCGGGCCCGCGCTTCTTACCGGGGCGGCGGCACCATGGGGGTCCTCAGCGGAAGGCAGAGGCGGCCTCCTTCCGTCGCGCAGCAGCTCCTCGGCAAACTTCAGCTGGGCCCCGGGCCCCACTCCTCCTCCCCGTCAACCACTTCCGGTTGCGGCCGCCCCAGAACCTCACTTCCGTTCTTCAAGGGCTTACTTCCGGTTCCTCCTCTATGGCTCGAGCCCGACTCTGGTTCGCACGCCCCCCCCCCCATTTCTTTTTTTTTAACCAACCCTTCGCTAACCCCGCTAGAGATAGAAATCAGGGTAGAGTGACACGCGCAGCCTGAAAGTCGAAACGCCCTTAAAAAGAAAAAAAGACGCTTATTTAAAGTTTCTAATGGGGTTGTTTTTATTTCTTCCTCCCATAGAATGAGCTGTTCGACAGTGGAACAGATTCCCTCAGGAGGTGGTGGGCTCTCCCCTTCCTTGGAGGTTTTTAAGCAGAGGTTGGATGGCCCTCTGTCATGGACGCTTTAGCTGAAATTCCTGCCTGCATCGCAGGGGGTTGGACTAGATGACCCTTGAGGTCCCTTCTAACTCTATGATTTACCAGGAAGTAGGGACCACCCACAATACGAAAGATGGGTGTGGCATACGGAATAGGGTGTAGACTGAAGTGTGTGAGACAGGCAGGGAAGCAAATTTCTTGAGTTTTTACCAAAAATGTAACCAGTGCAGGTTGGACCACAGCCACCCACTCAGGATAGAGATGCAATGATAGGGAAAGCTGCATGGGTCAGAATTCTACCTGCTGTGAAAGCTTTTAAAGGTTCGGATGTCAATTAAGATAGGGTCCCCAAATGAAGCGGGTCCTGGGCCACAAAAGGTTGTAGGTTCTAATAATTTATATTAAGGCTAAAGAGTGACCTAAAAATGTTTTAATAAATTCATTGTTTTTATAGCAATACATATATTAGTAATATGTAGCAAATTACCTGTAATTTATATTAGGGTCAATATAAAAATATTATGATGTATATGTATTAGAACACGCTTAACTGATATAATCAACTCTAAGCGAAAGGCTGGACTGGATGAACCCCAAACTGGAATTAAGATTGCTGGAAGAAATATCAACAACTTCAGATATGCAGATGACACAACCTTGATGGCAGAAAGTGAGGAGGAATTAAAGAACCTTTTAATGAAGGTGAAAGAGGAGAGCGCAAAATATGGTCTGAAGCTCAACATCAAAAAAACGAAGATCATGTCCACTGGTCCCATCACCTCCTGGCAAATAGAAGGGGAAGAAATGGAGGCAGTGAGAAATTTTACTGTCTTGGGTTCCATGATCACTGCAGATGGTGACAGCAGCCACGAAATTAATAGACGCCTGCTTCTTGGGAGGAAAGCAACAACAAACCTAAACAGTATCTTAAAAAGCAGAGACATCACCTTGCCAACAAAGGTCCGTATAGTTCAAGCTATAGTTTTCCCAGTAGTGATGTATGGAAGTGAGAGCTGGACCATAAAGAAGGCTGATCACCGAAGAATGGATGCTTTTGAATTATGGTGTTGGAGGAGACTCTGGAGAGTCCCATGGACTGCAAGAAGAACAAACCTCTCCATTCTGAAGGAAATCAGCCCTGAGTGCTCACTGGAAGGACAGATCCTGAAGCTGAGGCTCCAGTACTTTGGCTACCTCATGAGAAAAGAAGATAGTCCCTGCCTCCCTTCCACTTCCGCGCAGAGGACGGAGAGCGATAAATTATTAATTTTTTAAAAAAAGCGAGCGAGGGGAAGAGGAGGGGAAAACCAAAGGCAATGCAATGCCAATGCCAGCCAATCAGCCCTCTTACGTCAAGAAACGTCGCCCGCCCGGCGCCTCCTCCGCCCAATCAGCGCCATCGGCGGCGGCGTTTGAAAAGCGGCGGTTGAGGAAGGGGTGTGTGTTTGCGTGTCTGAAGCGCGGGGGAGGAAGGGAAAGGACAGCAGGCGCCCTCGCGCACGCGCCGAAACGAGGTCTCGCGCCGGGCTCCTCCCTCGTCCCGCCTCCTCTTCCAACGGGCGCCAGTGAGAGAGGCCTGAGCGCGCGCCGCCCCTCGCTCGTTGGCTGCTGCTGCAGAGGCTGCCGGGATACTTCTGTGACGGGATTCTCCTATTAATTATCGTCGTCGTTGTTGTTGTTTCCCTCTCATGGCTCACAATCAGATCTACTATTCGGACAAGTACGACGATGAGGAGTTCGAGTACCGGTGAGAAAGGGCGAGGCCTGAGGCGGGGAAGCGGCGGGGTTTGCCCTGAGAGGGAGAGGAGGGGCGTGGCTAGGGGTTGTTATGGCTACGTTGAGGGGCGGGGCCCTAAAGGAGTGGGCGGGGCCCTAAAGGAGTGGGCGGGGCCTTCTCGTGGCTAACCGGGGGGGGGGGAGAGCCTTCCATAAAAGAGAGGTGGGCAGTGTGGTGTAGTGGTTAGAAGGTGAAGACTAAGCCCTGGGTTCAAATCCCTCCACTCAGCCATGAAGTCCATTAGGTGGTGACTGGCCTCTCAAGCTAGCCTACCTCACAGGGTTGTTGTGAGGATAAAATGGGAGAACCATTTGCTCCATCTCAGCCTCCTTGGAAGGAAAGGTGGTGTCAAAACGTAATGTTATAATGGAATAGCTTCAGGAAGAATCTCTCGGAATAATGAGCAGTTCTGATTGTAGGCTGGGGAGCAGCTCTGGAAAGAAGCTCATGATCTGTTATTTGGATGGATCTAGCATTATCATCATTACCGTTATTGTCATCATTTCTGGTGTAGGGGACAGTTTTTAGGAATACTGTAATCTCTCAGAACAGTAATCGGAATAACCAGTTATGGTTGTGGGTTGTTGAGTGCAGCAGATTCAGTACTAGGAAAAAGGAGGTTTCTGATATACAGTACTTCCTTTGTTATACTGTGCAGGTGGTTTGGATTGAGAGGTGGCTTTCTAGTGGATACTATATGTATACAGTGGTATCTCAGGTTACAGGTGCTTCAGGTTACAGACTCCGCTAACCCAGAAATAGTACCTCGGGTTAAGAACTTTGCTTCAGGATGAGAACAGAAATCATGCGGCGGCGACACAGCAGCAGCAGGAGGCCCCATTAGCTAAAGTGGTACCTCAGGTTAAGAACGGACCTCCAGAATGAATTAAGTTCTTAACCCGAGGTACCACTGTACTGCCTTGAGTATTGGAGGCAACATGCTTAACAATTGCTGAAGAATAACAATAGCAAAGTGACATTTCCTTCAAGTCTAGTCTTGTGGGCTTCCCAGAAATGTAAGACCCTGCTGGATCAGGCCAGTGGCCCATCTGGTCCATCATCCAGTTCTCATAGTGGGCAACCAAATGCAAAACTCTCTCCTGTGGTTTTCAGCCACTGATACTCAGAACGAAACATTGCTTCCTCTGATTGTGTAGGTAGACCGTAGCCATCATGGCTAGTAGCCATTGATAGGCTTGCCCTCCATATATTGGATGAATTGAACATAATTGCTGGACCAGATGGGCCATGGGTCCAATTTGTTGGGTCTCTTTACTTTCTGACGATTGACTTAATGGTCACAAACTATTTTACAGCGATCCTTCCTGTGCTTCTTTTAACATTCTCTTCTCTTGATCCTGCCGCTGCAGGCACGTGATGCTTCCAAAGGACATTGCCAAGCTGGTCCCGAAGACCCACCTCATGTCCGAGTCAGAGTGGCGGAACCTGGGGGTCCAGCAAAGCCAGGGCTGGGTTCACTACATGATCCACGAGCCAGGTATGTTGCACAATGGCACAGGAGGCCTGGAGCAAATGCTAAGAGACCTTGCTTGAGGGGAAGGGCTGACAAAATGGCTTTCTGATATCAGGGTAGCAGGAAATAGATTGGGTAGGATGTGAGACCTGCTATCTCTCTGTTGCACGTACACACATTCCTTCTTCTTGATGACCAAAAAGAGCTGTACTACAATAGCTGCTTTAAACACCAAGTTGAATTGTGCCCTGCCAGAATTATAGGCAGCTGGCTTGCTTACGTCTGGAGCAGGGGTGGAGGATATGTGATCCCTGATTGATTGGGACATGTATCTAGGGCATGCATGGCGGACCTGTGCCCTCCAGATGTTGGACCGCAAATTCCATCATGGCTGACCAATGAGAGTCCTGGGACTGCTGGGATTTGGAGTCCAGCAGTGCGTGGAGAGCCACAAGTTCCCTGCCCCTGCCCTGGATGAACAGCTAGTGTGACCTGATATAAACAGCTCCTCTAGTTCCACACTGCACATACTTAAAACAAGGAAGTCTCTCCCACAAGAGGCAGGCAGTGTTGGTCAGCAACTCGGATGATTTTAAAAGAGGATTGGACAAATTCATGCAGTAGAAGGTCATCAGTGCCTATTACCCATGGTGGCTATGCTCTTCCTCCACAGCTGGAGGCATTAATGCTTCCAAGTACCAGTTGATGAAAACTACAGGATTGAAGAGTTTTCTTGTTCTCAGATCCTGCTTCCAGGTTTCCCACAGGCATGTGGTTGCCTACTGGGCTGGGCTAGGTGGCCCATTGGCCTGATCCAGAGGGGTCTCCTTGTGTTCTTATGGACAACAGTGAAGGAGGGCTTTTGCCTTTATGCCCTGCCTGGAAGAATCTTGCAGGCTCTCCTTATGTTCTTCGGAGAGCTATCCCATTCAAAGGGAGGCAGTGAGGGGTGCAGATTACTGTTACAAATTATAGTTACAATCTCAGTAACTGTATAGACTGTATATCTATTCAGACATAAAAATATTTAGGCCTTTGCAGAGAGCCACTGCCCTATAAAGCCTGTGTTTTTTAAAGCACACAAATGTGGCTTCAAAAAGCATCCAATGCTTCTGTCGGCTTCTTGCAAATCCCAGTTTTGATTTAAAGTTGCTAGTTCCTTACTGCTTTCTATTTAAGCAAATGCTTCTGCCTCCCCTAGGAGCAGAGTTTATGTATTAATAAAGTACTCCTTATGGCCCAGTTTACTGGTGTTCATAATGTTCACCACCTTTGGTATGTGATTGAATATGACAAGATGAAAAGACTCCTGGCATATACTGCATATCTTGCCTCTCAGTTTGGCAGAGCACCAGCCATAGTCGGGAGTGTCCATTACCTCCACTCAAGCAGGAAGTTACTTTCGTCTTCCCCTAGTCCAGATCACAGTCAGGGTTGGCCTGTCACTCAGTGGGTGACAGAAGCTCTGAACTGATCAGGGAGCTGGCCAGGGATATCAAGAAGAGAAAGTGCCCTGCAGTAAAGCCAAATTAGAGTTTTGATGCAGCCATTTTTTTATTGTATAAATAGAAAGAATCATTTAAGAACTATTCCTATAACTCACGCCTTGCTGTAATTGTGCTATATAGACTCATCTTAAAAACTTGGCTCTGTAATTTGTTTTTATACTGAATATGCTCCGTATATAGTTTTTGTTATTGTTTGTATGGTTATATGTTGGCTTATACATATGCTTATGATGAATCAATAAAAATTAACGTGATTAAGTAGAAAAAAATGAAATATTTGAAATATTTTAACTACCAAAAACAGCTTACAATGTTCTGCAGTCACAATTTTTGAAGAGGGAGAGGGACCTGTGACAAGCGTAAGATTCTGCTTCTCCCAATCCCTTCTGCCTGCAGATTTTTTAACATAGGAAGCTGTCTTATACTGAGAGACCACTGGTCTATCTCTCTGGGTTGTCTGCACTGACCAGCAGTGGCTCTCCAGTGTTTCAAGCAGGGGTTTCTCTCAGCCACATGTGGAGATGCCAGAGATTGAATCTGGGGACCTTCTGCATGCAAAGCGGCTGTTCTACCGCTGCTCTTACATGGTTGTAGCTTTAAGCTTATTGTTGCTGCAGTGTGGATTAGCAACTTCAAATCAAAACCTGGATTTGGAGGAAGCTGATGGATGCTGTTTTGGAGGTCATGTTTGTGACATCTGATTTTTAACATATGCTTAGAAACACCCATGTTAGGCTTGAGTCACCTGGCCTTTCAATATTATTTTCTAGATCTTTTTTTAACATGCCACTTCCTCTCTCCCTGCAGAGCCCCACATCCTGCTTTTCCGACGGCCGTTGCCAAAGAAGCCAGAAAAATGATGTGCTTGGGCCTTTCCCCATGTTTTAGCTATAAGCACCTTTAAACGAAAAACCCAGCAACTGTGTTTTTTGGAAAAGTTTGACAAATGTTTTCACTATGTCTGTCAAGAAAAGGCCACTCGATGCAACAGTTAATGCCGGACAAGAAAAGCTTTGCTTGCTGCAGAAAGACTGCCTGCTGAAAAGGATTGGTTTTAGCTGCTGAAACATTGATATTTTTTTACACTGGCTGAAGCCTTGCTCCTGCTTGATCCCACACAGCAGGGCTGGTTTGGTTTTTAAACCCAGGAGAATGCAGCGTGTTTCCCTGGTTGGATATTTCTAATCTATGTTTTTTAAATCTTTTTTTAAAACCTTGTATTTCATGTTAATCCTTTGGAACTTTTAAAAGTTACGCTTGATATGACTGTTCTTCAGGGTCTGTCAATAAAGCACCAAGGTTTTACACATCCTTTTTGCTTATTTCATAGACTCCCTCAAACCTTCTGGTTGCTGTACTCTCAAATGTGGCTTGAACAGCTTTGTATTAACAGCTGATGTGCAAACAGTGCATGGAATTGCATGCAGACAAGTGAATGGACAGGCAGAGAAGGGGAAGATCTGCCAGCGTGCTAGGTAGATATCTATATTTTATCCAAACGGTGGTTATTTCTATGCCTCCAGGGGCAGCACCTCCTCCATGGTCACCATAACAATGCTAACAACAAACCTCTTAGCAGGCTACTAAATTATTTTATTTCTGCTGGTAAGTAACCTTTATGGATTTATTTACAAAGCTGAGCTAGAAGTATTTAAAAAATAAGCTGCAGATGAGCTTGTGCATCCATCTGTCTCGGGAGATAGTGGAGGAGTATGCCTTTGCAAGTGATGTCAAACTGTTGGAAAGTTGCAGCGCCTGCTGTGGCTGTAGAGACCGATATGGGAGAGACATGTTTTGTTGCAGGTGGGGCAGATGAAGGCATCTGGTTGTGTTGCGGCACATGCATCACGGCGTTTCTACTCTTTGCGCTCCTCCCAGCAGTCATTCCTCCTCTGGTCACTGCTATGCAAAAATGGTGTGACTGTCTGTCTCCAGGCACTGCGGTCATCTGCAAGGAATTTCCACATAGCAGGGCTGATGTCACGTTTGCAGACATCTTTGTAACGTGTGTTACAGCTTCTCTTTCTGAGGCCTTTCCGCAGAAATGGCACTGTCTCTTAAAACAAACAAACTTTACGCATCAAGAAAGGACATAGCTCCCTCTCTAGGCATCCCATTGCCTCTCCTTAAAACTTAAGTGGGCATAGGAACAAGTGGGGGCTGGCTCATGTGCATTCAGTTGCACAGTATTTTTCCCCTCTTAAAGAAGCAACTTCCACCTCTGGGGAAAGACTGGCAAAGCTGCTAGCATGAGCAAACGAAGGAATGGGTTAAGGTTAGGGGAACCTCTTGCCTGGGGGTGGATTGCAGCCCTCCAGTCCTCTCTGCCTGGCCCTCAAGACTTCCGCTATCTACACGCCTTACTGACCCTACCCTGTGCTCTCCTTGAGTGCTTTTTGCCTGGCTGGAATGTATCCTCTGCTAATGCCTCTTCCTTGCCTGGATGTGTGGACACAAAGCTCTGTATGTGTTGAAACCTCTGTCGTCAGTGTGGCTGGAACATACTCAACCATACAAAGGTAAGTGTCATGCCTGTTGCTCCGCCCATTTTTGTCTCTGGCCACACCCACCACTGGCCCCCTGAAAGTTGCCTTTAGTACAAGGGTAGGGTAGATTTTTCAACCTAACAGCTATAATAATAATAATAATAATTTATTATTTATACCCCGCCCATCTGGCTGGGCTTCCCCAGCCACTCTGGGCGGCTCCCAACAGAATATTATAACACGATAAAACATCAAAGATTATAAACTTGCCTAAACAGGGCTGCCTTCAGATGGTTTCTAAAAGTCTGGTAGTTGTTGTTCTCTTTGACATCTGGTGGGAGGGTGTTCCACAGGGAGGGCGCCACTACCGAGAAGGCTCTCTGCCTGGTTCCCTGTAACTTGGCCTCTCGCAGTGAGGGAACCGCCAGAAGGCCCTCGGTGCCGGACCTCAGTGTCCGGGTAGAACGATGGGGGTGGAGACGCTCCTTCAGATATACTGGTGAAACAGCGAATTAATTGCCTCACCTACAACTTTTTAAAATTTGAACCTATCTTGTGTCCCAAGGGCATCAGAACAGGCGAGAGCATTCAGGAGAGAAAAATGGAATTATTTTTATTCCAGCTCAAATGCAAAATGTCCTAAAGTCCACCTGGAATTTTTTTTTTATTTTTTTTGTAAGCTTAGAATTGGGCAGCAAGCACCCTAATTGACAGAAGAACCATTGCAACAGCCTTTAATATAAGAGTGGGCAAGCGTTAGCCTCTGGGTGTTGCTGAAATACAACTCCCATCAGCCCTAGCAATCATGGGCAATGGCTTCGGGCAATGAAAACTATAGCTCAACGGCAGCTGGAGGCTCCACCAACTTGACTCAAGAGGTTGTAGTGAGAATTAAGAGGCAGGAAGATACAGTTGTCTGGTTTACACCCAATTCAAAGTGATGGTTTGCTCAACCAAAGCATAGGTCGTCTGGGCCCAACAAACTAACAATGGTTTGTTTACTGGCAGCAAACTGTGATGTGAAGTCATGATCTCCTTGGCTTAGGAAACAGTTTGTTTTGGCCATGGTGTGTTGTTAGGGCCAATCCTAACAGGCTTTCTTGACCATGGCTTCTTTTGCCACCCCACCACATATGTTTGCTGACCTACAGAAGCAACAGAAGCTGGAAAACAAACAAAGCTTTGGAGAAACAAACCATGGGTTCTCTGCAATATGAGTAATGGCTTGCTGAGTAAACCATGGTTAAAGCAAACCTTGGCTTAGCTTTGTGTGCAAACACAAGCAGTGCTGCAGCATTTTAGTGAGTTTTTATGAGCAGGATTTGTGTGAGATATAAAAACCCTGGTCCACCCAGATCTTTCTACACAAGCAGAACTTTAAACGGTTTGAAGCATAGTCTAATTTTTAACATGCACTATAGCAGCTGAGCTGACTGACATGTCCTGGCCTGGGCATCATTACTAAGAGGAAACACAAGCACTCAAAAACATTTTGTACCATGACGAGAGTTCACACACACACAAAAGAAGTCTGCCAGGGTGAATTCACATTATGAGTCATGAAGGGGACATCTCTCGCTGTAGTACTTTTCTAATGTGTGTGTGTGCATAGCGACAAGCTGATGTTTCACAACTTTCTCCTCCTTTGAGGAAATATTTTCCAAGTGAGAATGTCTGCTGAGGAAGTGCTGACCACATGCAGTGGATTCTGGGAGCAGGGTACAAACTCATTTTACTGGATAAACTGGTTGGGATTCATCACTGGCCTACGCTGACTGCAGCTGTGCCCTAGAAACACACCTTCTTGCAAGGGAAAACTGGTAGTCCCAAGCAATCCGTAAGATAGCCTTTCTTCCCAACAGAGTTTGAAAACTGCTGCTATGGAGGATATATATATATATATTATTTAAGATGGCAGCATGAAGTGATTCTGTACAGTGTGCTCAGTCACTGCATTCCATCTCCACCAAAATTTTTGGATAGCTCAGTCGGTAAGAGCATGTGACTCTTAATTTCAGCGTTATGGGTTCAAGCCCTACGTTGGGCAAAGACGATTCCTGCATTGCAGGGGGTTGGACTAGATGACCCTCGTGGTCCCTTCCAGCTCTACAATTCTGTAGGCACTGAGCATAGGTAAAGGGACCCATGACCACTAGGTCCAGTCGCAGACGACTCTGGGGTTGCGGCGTTCATCTCGCTTTATTGGCCAAGGGAGCTGGCGTACAGCTTCCGGGTCATGTGGCCAGCAGGACTAAGCCACTTCTGGCGAACCAGAGCAGCGCACGGAAACGCCGTTTACCTTCCCGCTGGAGGGGTACCTATTTATCTACTTGCACTTTTGTGCTTTCGAACTGCTAGGTTGGCAGAGTTGGGACCGAGCAATCGGAGCTCACCCCGTCGCGGGGAATCAAACCATCCTAGGCTCTGCGCCACCCGTGTCCCTAGCCACTGAGCATACTCAAGCCTTTATTGAACTTGAGTTCAATATTGAGAGATTTAGTCTCTCCCTCCTCCCCCTTTTCTGACTCCCCTTCCCAAATATTTTCCATACATCTGTCAACCTTGTCTGGATACACCTTCCTAGATTGCTGATGATCTGTAGTGTATTAATAATATTTTCATTATCTGAATTGGAATACAAAAAAGGGAGGTGTGAGGAGGTCCGGGAAATAAGCAAATGAAAGATAAGTGATTGAAAGATGGAATTGTTTTTTAACTATTTTTATTTTGTATTTTTCTTTTTTCTTTTTGTAAAATTCTAATAAATATATTTTAAATAATAATAATAATATTCTTTTCATTATCATCTTTCATTTCATCTCCTTACTTTTAGCTATCACTCGCCCTAAGAGCCCCAACCTCCCTCCTGCCTTTCAAAGACACCCTCGAACAAAGGTGAATGCCGCAAAGCACGATGGGAATCGTAGTCCGTCTCCCCCCCCCCCGAAGGGTCTCTTGCTCATTCTCCATCTTCCTTCTAGTAGGCGCATCAGGCTTGCTACGAGACGAAGCTTCTGGCCAATCGGTTTCTTTCCATAGGCCGTTCTTTTCCCCGCCCCCTTTCCTGCTGTCCAATGGGAGGGGGAGGCGGGGCGACGTCGACGGAGCGGCCAATGGACAAGAGGCGGGCGGGGAGATTCGATGAGCTTTGATCTGAGACGGGAGGTGAGTAGGAAGAGCGAGGGAGGGGAGGCTGCTCTCAATATGACTTTGGGGGGCTTCCCGAGGCTCCGTCCCAGGATGTGTTTTCAGGGCCATCCCCTCCCCCTCTGTGTCCTGAAGGATGCGAAGGAGAGTAACTCTGGCCACGTGCAGAGTGCTTTTCCTTCCAGGGGACACAAAACAGGGTTAGAGCAGAAATCAAGTAACATTGGAATGGACTGAAGGTTGCCAACTTCCGCACTGGCCCCTGAAGCTGTGCCTTTTAAGAGCAGCTGGATCTGCAGCAAAGGATTTTGTTTATCTCCCGTGACAGCCACGTCTTCACCTATTATTGTTGATTTTATTATGTAGTTTTATTAATTTTAATTTTTTTATTATTTTGGATTTCTTACCTGCCTTTCACAATGAAGTCCCAGAGTGGGTTATCAATAATAATAATAATAATACGGCAATATTCTTTACAACACAATGCTTATTTTCATTGATCTACCAATATATATTGGGGCAGAGTTTGGTAAGATGGGCGCCCTGAGCGAGGACAAAATTTGGCACACACCCCCAAAATATTTCTTATTTTCACAACAATTCTTTTTGGTACAGTTGCTTTTTTATAGATCTTCTCAGTGGTTACTCATATAAATATACATCATTATTATTATTCTC